TTAGACCCCAAACGTAAGTCGAACCATGACAGTGCAGCGTGCTAGCTTGAAACGGTAACTACTATGCCACATTACCACGAGTGCCCTTGGGTCACAGGGTAGATGCAAATTTCAAGGAATGTCAGGCATTTTCTACATCACATTTTGTGTTGGGATTGTCGAACTTATATTTGCTATAATAACTTTTATAATTACCTACGACATTACTTTTATTGTAAATAAGTAGGTTTTAGAGACTACCAGTAAAGCAGATATATGAGTGGTTTTAATCCCATTTCGTTTAAGGTGATAAAGGACTGATAGTTGATTTCCCTATATCTGATTTACTGGTAGTCTCGAAAACCTACTCATTTACGATAAAAGTAATGCTGTCGATTGCTAAAGCAAATATAAATTTGCTTCATTGACAATCCCAACACAGGATGTGATTTATAAAATACCTGACATTCCTTGAAATTTGCATCTGCCCTGTGAGCCAAAAGCACTAGTGGTAATGTGGCCGAGTGGTTAACGTGCCAAGCTCACATGCTGCACTTTCATTGTTCGACTCCCGCTGGGGGTGTTTATAAGACCTATGCGAGGTCGAAACGGCATTTCATCCTGAATGTGAACAACTTTTGGGAAAGCAAGGCTATGTGCAATTCAATGGAAACGTCAGCTCTACTCATATTATTGCGGGAAAATTCTACTATCAGTCCTTCATCACCTTACATGAAATAGGGTGAACACAACTTATATAGGCTTGGATAAATCGGCTCTTTGGAATGCATGTCAACATTAAATTTGCTCCTTAAAAGAATCATGAGCAAACTTGCAACAAAAAGTAATCCAGAAAGGTAGATCTAGGCAAAATTTGAAACATGGCATAAGTAGAAGACTGAAATTTCGAAGCTTTAATTTTAATTTTATCTATAATACTTCGTATCACAGTTGATTCACAGAGATTTTACTAAGCAGCTTTAATCATGGCCTCATACCGCCCACGTTTTAATACGATTTTTCTTAATTGATTATCACCAGGTATGGCTTGAGGCCTGGAGACTGGCATATAGGTTTGCGGCATTCGGACGAATTATCACTTTTCAGTTACTGTTTGCCAAATTCGGCAATGCTAAACTAATACAGCTGCCCAAAAGCACTTCCTCCATCGCCGATAAGCCATAAATCAGTGCTCTCTGTCACCCTGTTATGCTATCCTCTAATCTCAAGGGCAAGCGATCATTTCAGAGCTTGCTTAAACATGTCGATCCATGTATTTAAAGATGCGGCTCAAAAGTTTCCGAGAGAGGCTTGCCAAAGTGAGCAGTGGCCCACTTATACGACATTGTATAACATTAATGGTGTTCTTCTAGTAGTTCTACTGTCTTTCTGACTGTCCATCTGAGCGCATATACAGTCTAATTTATCTCCTCGAGGCTAAACTATCCTGCTGCCAACTTTTCGCCCCGGAGTGTCTTTTTGCCTTATTCTGAAAGTTGAAGGTGAATGGTGTGCTTCGAGGTGTTCTGATTGCCTTAGCATCCTGCAGGAATGAGCTCTCTCTCTCTTTCTCTCTCTCACACACACAGGTAACAAACCCCTCAAACCCGACACGCTTCCAGACAGACGCATTCGTGTACCTCGTTCTTCGGACAAGGGGTGGAGGCCTACTGACCGAGGAGAGCCTGTAGAGAGGTGCGGCTTGTAGGGAAGGCATGAACAATTTCCCGATTGTTGCCCCAGTCATAGAAGATGTAGGGTCGAGGATATCGGTTCTGCTGGGAAGCATGAAGGGGAGAGAGGCGGAGAGGGAGGGAGAGAAGATTGTACGCCTAGGCTTGCTGGACCAGCCATTTTGGGGTTAGCGGTTGCCCAGGCAATGACGGTCTCAGACGGGACAGGGGATTCGGGCAAACGGAAGAGGGGTGAAGTTGCCGGGAAAGCTGGAGGCAGATGCGATGGAACAACGACAATGTGAATAACAGTCGGTCAGGCATGTAAGAGGTGGCTGGCGCAGAAGAAGAGAAAATCCTGCTGCAATTGTGTACACGTAAAATACGAATTCGCATATCCATGCGCTTGCTTGCGTGTGTGTCGACACGAGAGCAAGACCCAATTGAAGATGAGCTAAAGCATATACAGAAACAGACGTTGGAGGGTGGCTGGTGGATGGCCGGCCAGAATAAGTTTTTCAATGGACAGAAATAAGTTTATATTCGCCTAATTAACGCGGACTGATCTAGACTGCGTGCTCCCATCACGACGCGCCTAAAGGGTGACTTTATTGCTACTGATATCGATTGGGACTGGCAACTCCTCATGTTCGGATTCGCGTAGTCCGAGATTGTCGGTCACTGCCCTGTTTTCCCTTGTCGTGGCACTGACCTCAACGAAAGCGGGTCCTGTTCAAGTTCGTTTTGTTGACACCGGCGCTTTTATATATCCTTAATACTTTGATCAGAATCCGTCAGAATCCGT